TAAGTTTACATTTTCATTGCAATTGTTGGTAAAATAAATCATTATAAAATAATTTAATGAATGTTGTCGTGTTGTAATTTATTCATAGTGTAAAAATGATGGTTATTATCTTGGTATTAATTGATAATGATCTTAGAAAATAATGAGTTATTTTCTATAGAAATTTATGGTTTATAAACACCTTAAATGACTTGTTTAAGTTTTATTAGTAAAGATAGAAGTGATAATGTTATTTAATGTGGAGTATATAGAGAGGCATGGATGGGAATATTTTGACTTTAGGCCATCTATGTAGATAGATAAGGCAAAATGATGGGGATTTTCACTCTCATTGGCTAACGGTCATACCTAATGACCTTCAAGGGGATGTCTGAGAGGAAACCAACAAAGGAGACCACTTCCTCATGGTAATTGAATGTTTTAGAGGTTGGATTCAGAAAGCTAGTGTTTTGGGCTACAATTTTGGTGTAAAAAGTTTGTGATTTGAGTTTTGTATGATGACACTCTTTTAAGCACATAGAGAGTTGTAAAAAGGCAGTTGATAATCGGAAGGTGGCATTCAAAAACTAACTTAAAGGACTACAACTTTCATACAAGAATTGATGAATTCAGATCTGAGATGAGGGAGAAATGGCTGGTCAAAGTCACAGCTTTCAAATCAAGGGCAATAAGTGAACCGAATTATTGATAGTTATGTTTTGAGCTATATTTAGAGAATTTGAACTAATTTTAGGCTTAAATCTATTAATGATATAGTTCATGATATTAAAAAGCTATACAAAAAAGTTTCATGTCATTTGAGTATTGGATTTGTGAGAAATAGTGAAATCAGTACATGGATGTCTGTAACTCAATATATAAAGACCACGTTACTAAAATCATGATATCTAGAGATCGGTAAAGAACTTACAATTGAAATTTGGTGTAGAAGAGGTTAAGAATACTGCCTTATTTCTCAAAAAATTTGAGCTCAATCTAACAATTGTATTGAGAATTATGAGATGCTAAAGTTTGGCAAACTAAAGGAGGTCGGTATTGGAGGAGTTTGGTACCACAAGGGTTTTACTATTACAAAGGGGGTTTGATAATTCCTGAGGATTCTGTAATTATTGATTGAAGTGGTTTGGTAATTACTGAGGATTTAGTAAGTATTGATTGAAGTTATTGTTAATAAAGGGATTCGATACATACTGTTTACTGCTATTGCTTTTACTGTTATTGGAGGTTCGGTATTTATTGCTGCTACTACTTTTACTATTACTAGAGGTTTGGTATATATCATCCCTGCTATTACTATTACTGAAAGGCTCGATAATTATTGTAAATTTCTGCGGTTATTAATTTAAAAGAGATTTGGAAAAATTTGGAAATTAAAGATCAAATTAGATAAATGGAGGGATTCTTTGAATGATATAGACAAAAATTATGTACAAAGGCCTATGTTAATATAAAAGCCTTGGTTGGATTGTTTATTGTAAATTTCTTTGAAATTAATTTATCTTTATTTGTTAAAATGGAATAAGGGTAAATTATAAATGATCTTGGATTTTCTTCATTTTGAAATTTTTTGAGAATTCAATGACACCTACAAGCCTAGTATTTTTTCAAAACAAACTCTCTTTACCTTAACAACATTGAATAATTAGTCCATTTTTTCCAAGTTTATAAAATTATTATTGAGATAGTTAATTTTTTATTAATGTAGATAAAAACTTATTGGAACATGCTAATATTTTATTATGGAGATTGAAAAGATCTAGTGGAAGTCGACATATTTGGGAGGAATTGGAAGTAGTCAAAATTTTCAATTAGAGGCTAAAAATGGATTTGAAAAGAAGTCAAGAGATTTGGCAAGAATAAAGAGGATTGGATAAAGATTTAGAAGGATGTCAAGAGGGTGGGTAGAGGTTTGGCATAGAATTGAAGAAAGAGGGAATCAAAGGTTGTTGAAATGTAGATTAGAGATCAAGCTAGGAGATTGGGAGGTCAAGTTGGGATATTGGAGATTGAAAGAGGAGAGTTGGAAAGTTGAGCTTGAAAATTAAAATGGATTTCTTTAGCTTCATGCATTCAATATTATTACATATATTTATATTCATACTTAAATACATAATAATCCAAAAATTCATATTTTTTATTTTTTAAAATTAAATAATAAAAAATACAACATATGAATATACCTTATAAAATATATTATATTCAATACTTATCATAGAAGTAAAATTTAAGAAATATCATTATTGAGCATGAAGGAAAATGCTTCCTTAAAAGATTCTACCAACCAATCTATTCTTATCACCTCTTCAATATAAAGGTCTAAAATCACTATCTCTTAGAACCTCACTATCATTGTTTTCATCAATACTTTGGTCATTAATATCTTCAATTTGACTATTACTTTTAGAAGATTCATTATTTTTAACAAGTTATAAAGAAAAAAAATTATTATTCTTACATAATACAATAAGTTTTGTTGAGCAAGTTCTTGTTTCATCAACAATTCCATCTCTATCAAATCCATCATAGTGTACATCACAAAGAAATGACTTATCTATAATTCTTGAATATTTTTTTTCCATAAATTATTCTTCTCTCCATTTGATTTCTATTTCTTGTAGATGGATGATTATTTGTTTATTTGGATATAGAAGTACCATTTATTCAAGTTATAATATTCAAAGATGGTCATAATTCCACTAATCAAGAAGCTATTTGTGTATTATATTTTTGATATGAAAGCCTCTAAGTTTCACATATTTTAGTGTGTAAAAGCTCCTGACATTTATTTCATTTTCTTTACTTTACCTCATCTTCTCCATTCCCTCTATTCCAAGTTAGGGTTGAAATATTCCAATATGTCATATTTCTAATGGCTAGTACTACTTCTGTTTCTTCTTACAAGTGCAAGGCAAGGGTTGCAAATACGAGGTAAGGGTTGCACATGAAGGCTACTAGAAGAGGTGGAGAAGTGAAACCAAAATGCCTATGAAGGCAATATTTGTGAAAATTCGAAATAGAATTGGCCACAATTATAGAAATTAGTGAAAGAATTTATTCAATCATATGATACATTGTCATATTATGTAATCTCTTGTTTGAAAATGTACTAGACATCTAACTATGGAAAAAGAGATTCTACGTAAATACAATTATTTTAGAAATCCTAATAAGTTTCAATATCTATAAACAAATGAAAATCTTAATTCCAATCCAAAGAGTTTAATTTCAAAAAAGTACTTATGAATAATTTTTCAATAATCTTAAGTATACACAAATGTTACATACTTTTGATTTCTCAATTTCCTTACAAAATTCAATTCTTCATAATTATACTAATTCTAATCAAGGAATTTCAATGAAACACTATGCCTAATCAAATTGTTATATTATCATCAAAATTTTCAAGCTACTGTCACTTATAGTCTTCAATGAGTTTACAAATTTTGTAACAAATCCATCTTACAATTCAAAAGATATTGCCAAAAACTTATACTAATATCATTCAACCTTCTATTCCAAAGTTGATGAAGAATTTTCAACAACAAGATCTTCAATTCTAATCATTAACTTTTATTCAAACTTAATAGATATCTTAGTCTTGAAATCTTCTACCAACATTCCACATTTTCGCTTGATACAATTAGTACATTTCTAGTTATTGCCAAAATCCTAATTGACATCAAATTGCCAACTTCTGATACCTCCTTGTATATACTGTCAAATATCTCTCAATTGCACAATCAAAATAATATGAAATTTGATTCACAAACTTCATACATATACAACCACATGTTCACAAAAATTGAACTAGAGATCAATCACAAAAAATAAGAAATGAGCCCAAATTCAACATCTAATTTTATTACCTTCCAATGATTGTTATCAATATAATCTTGACTTCAATTGACCTTTCTGAGGTCCTTTTGAATCCACATCAAGCAAGTTTTTTATGCCTTGAAGTACTTTGGAGCTAGCTCTTGATTTCAACTTGCCAATCTCCTTATTTTGCTATAGGCAATTATTTTAGTGCTTTTAGGTTAGATTTCAATTATGTTTCACAAATGGTCATCGTTTGAATATCAATTCTTCTTTTTTATGAATCTTTTTGCACAATTCTATTCTTAATTCTACTCTAGAATCAATTACATCAAATTTTTAGCTAATCCACTTCATTTCAACAAAATTATGACTTTATTAAGATGATAGAAGTATTTTTACAATAAAACATAGCCTACAAGCTAAAAATATTGACTAATTTTAAACTTTTAGGTATTAAGACATGAATAATAATCTAAGAGGCTTGTAGAAAAGCTTACTTTAAATGTTTTGGATCTTTGTTAAGCAAAGATGATAGAATAGCTACCACGAAATCTTTTTTGTCTATATTTTCACTATGTAGCCATATTATAATACAACAACATGTATATGGGCCAAAGTATCTTTACAAAAACCATATAGATTTCTTTATTTACTTCCAAAGGTCCATGGTCATCTATATCAATGGATTTTATTATAAGCCTTCCAAATACTAATAAAAAAGATTTAAAAATCAACTTATAAAAATGACTTATTTCATTCTATGCGGAAAATCAATAATTGGAAAAAAAAAAATGCCAATCTCTTTCTAAAAAATATTTATTGTATATATAGACATCCAAATAATATTATATTTGATCAAAGAATACAATTCATATTTTTATTTTTGAAAAGAACTATTTGAAATCTTAAAAGTCAAGATCAACTTATCTATAGTTTATCATCCATAGACTAATGATCAAATTGAACAAGTCAATACCGACAAACAACCGAGTCGTATGCAATAGGATTTCTAACATTCTTCACTTGAAATAGATTAACAAAGGTGATAGTGTTACGGATAGCATTGCATTATAGAACTTGGTGTTTCCAAGCTAGCTATGTTATCTCAATTTAAGATGACATACATTTAAGAGGGTGTTTGGAACAGACACACGTCAATCATTCCTTGTCATTCATTGAGGTTAGGTTTAGAATAAAGGTGGTAGCCAAAGTGAGACTAGTTGTGTATATAAGCAAATCCCATCTCAATAAAATCATCTCTATCTCTAGCATTATTTCAACAGTGCCACTACTTGAGTGTGCACGTAATGGTCTTCATTAAAACCCCGGATGCATGCCCACCCAGGCACACATTATAGAGAAGCTATAAACAATATCCCAACTAAACTACCGTCAAGAAATACACAAAGCTGTGACTCCACACAGCATTTTCCCAAACGATCTGTGCTATTGCTGTTTGATTTATAACGCCACTGACATTGATCGCTCACCTATCCCATGTTGCACGTGAAGTAGCGCCGGGCAGAATCAGGGAGGGTTGGGAAACCCTGAGGCCTGAGGTCAGACGCGAGCAGGCACTCCTGGAAGTCACCGGCGCTGTTGCGGAACTGCAGGCGCAGCGGGTAGATGCGCCAGTCGATGCTGAACTCGCCACCGGCGCACACGTTCTTGTAACTCACGTACCCAAGAGTTCCGGGTGCCCGCCCTATGCGCTCCTCCAAGCCCGTGCACCCATGCACCCCCGTCGAGCTCAGCACGTGTCCGGGGATTGGGCAAGTGGTGCGCCCGCAAATCCCATCCTTGTCTTGCTGATCAATTACCACCGAGCCAGCGCTGGCAGTTGATGCAAGCATTATCATGAGCACGATACTCATGATCAGCCAGCGCAAGCTCATGTGATTGATCCACTTCATCTTCACGATCACTGCCGTGCTTATGGCCTGGCGGATGACAAACGTCGTAGTAACAAAGGGTATTAGGAATAACGAAGGATTAAATAGAAATGAGCAAAATTACCGTCACAATCTTTGACACAGCAGAGGGTTCTTAGAGCTCACACATCACGACATGGAATTGCTAAATGTACTGAAGGCGTACTCCAAATTATATCTTGCGCGATGGTGCGTAAGCCTGTGGCGATTAGGACTCTCAAGCTGAAAGGAAGTAGTGAACCCTTGTCACCGCTCCACTAGCGTTACAAAATGCAATGGATCTAAAGCACTCCCTACCCTCAACGCTTTGTAGTTCAAACTAACAGTGAAGCACGCATGCTCCAACATGGTACTAATACCTACAGATTGCTTACCACTCACGCCTACCATAATTCTGATTGCTGCTCACGCACCCAACCCTGGGTCTTCTGGCGCAAGCCTAACCGGACCCCGTTTCTTGATGAAATCACACCTGCTTCGATTTGTTAGATTTTTTATTGAGGTTGAAGAGGCGGATGTTCTGGTGCTTACTTGTGGCGTTCGTGATGACCGTTTCCTACCAGGTCGTTGGTAACAACACGAATTACTATAACAACACTACCTGAAGTATGTCTCCATGTCTGCACACAAGTCGAACCGACGTCTGCAGAGGCTGTTAATAGCAGGCAGTGAATATCAATGCGACTTAGTCATCGCCAAGGAGTCGCAGTGACATATTTGTCAACAGGACGCTGTAATAATCGATGTAACCCAGTGCTTGCCAAAGAGTGGCACCGATATTCACAGCTTCATTCGAAGGAGCTCCATTGGGCTGTCTGCACGCTTAGGCCCACATTGATAGCTAATCACAGTGCCCACATTGACACGCTTTGCACAACTCGAAGAGTTCTAACCTCACGACCTTGGTCTGAAATTTCCTGCAAGATTGATACATAAGTTACACTCTTGGCAGCGAAGCTTTGCTCCGTTGTTACTACAAGAATTTTTTAAAAATCCCGTGCCGATAAAATGGACCAATCCCAGATCATTTGATTCATTGCGAGCGATACTTTTTTCACAACAACTTCCAAGGCCTCGACCGCAGATTTTCAAGCAAAGTAAGAACGAGTAATGAGAAATGAATGCAAATGAGAAGCGCTAGTGCGGAGGCAGCCCCGAGGTGAATTTTTACATGGAAATAAATTTCTTAACCTGCTTCGTCTGTGGAGCCCCTCAGTGTAAATGGAGCTTTAGCAAGAGTGAAAAGCTTCTTTTGCAACTCCTACCCTAATTTCACAGTGGACGAGATAGTTGGAAACTATCATGTATTTAAAAGAAATTAGAATTATTTGAAAACTCACCCACTTTCTCACCAAAGAAATGGAGATTATCTTCTTATTTATTGGAAAAAGTATTTTCAACTTGTAAACTCTAAGCAAGTTCAAAAGAGGGTGAAACATTCTTTAATTGGAGTATGCACTCCAACCACAAAAAAGTGATTTAAGGTGATATTGTGGGTGAGTCTTTGAGTGGGAAAAGGTTTAATTTTAAAATAACTCTGTTATGTCATCTTGAGTATGTCATCACAAACGTCAAGAGTATTTGACATGATTCAAGTGAAGTTAGCTATCAATGTGGGCATTGTGATTAGTGTTGTTAATTTGCACCAACACCAAAAAACTAGGCATGTTAAAAGATGCTATCAACTTTAGAGCATTAGTAATGAAGGGTGGTATGTTTGATAATGTGATGAACAAACACTACATTGTAAAAGTTTTTGTTAATCATAGTGTAATCGTTTTAAAAGAGATCATACAATGTTGCAATGTGGATTTCCTATATCCTAGAATATAGCTTAATTATTATAAATCAGCCCTATATCATATATTTATATTGATATTAGCTAAATTGTATGTATGAAAGTAGAGAACTATTTGATAATATGTGGTTTACACTGTAGCATATGAATGAACAGAGGGTATTTGGCAAGATAGGCTGCTTGTGTGCAAAATTTGAGAAGAAGATTTTTTTTTGAATTGATGACAATGATATGCTAAAGTAGAGGAGGTCTTCAAACTCTACAAATCGGAGGGAGCAACTTCAAGGCTTAGATCTTAGCAACCAATTTTAATTTCTTTATTCATGATGTACAGTACAAAATTGTAAATAATCATTTTGAATTTAAATTCTTTTCCAAGTATACAAGAAAATCAAATTTATGTACAAATTCAATTGGAATTCAATGCTAGGCACCAAAGTAATTAATTATTTAAAATTATGTGCAATTCTTAATTTATTATATATGTTTAAAAACATATTCAAAAGTAATAAATGTGTTTGTAAATAAAGAAATACAAAATATTACATGTTTTTGGTGAGGCATCTATAAAATAACATTTATTAAAAATTTTATACTTTGATACAAAAAAATTAATACATTAAGTTTAACAAATATATAATTTTATCAAGGTAATTCAAGCTAAAAATTAATGTAATGTAGTAACAGACCATGGAATTTGACAATTCATCCAATATAATCCATGACCACAGATTTATAATTATATTTATATGCTTTACAAATTGTTTATAAGAAATTTTTATTTTTAATTTTCATCCAAATATTGAGTTTTAGCATAAAGCATTCTTCACAAAAAAAAATGTTTTATTGTAACATGTGAAAAATCATTTCAATGACGTTTTCAAAATCTATGAATAAATTGAGGTGATAGATTTTCAGTGTAGAAATTTTCAAAATAAATTTTGGTTCAAAAGTATCCAATATACATATTATTGTAGCTTCATTGAATTTGACAAAAGTAAATGGTTTTAAAAAAATATGTATTAATTTGTATAAAAAAATATAGAATATATTAATATGTCCATGCCCAAGTCATCACTACTTTCTATGTGCTCTACACCCCCACCCTCCAGTAGCCTAGGCTTGCATCAATTGTGGGAGCCAGCCAGCTGCACATAGCCTCCACTGCTCCTCATGTCCCTTCAGGGTGTCTTTTACATGCTGGGTGGGTGGGCAATCACATTGAGCCACTTTGCCCAACCCCAACACAGGATCACCAGCAAGCCCATCCAATTGTAAATTTGCACTTTCATGCAGGGGAGTGGAAGAGCAGAAGATACACTCTCTGTTGGATACTCTGTGTAGGAAAGATATGGGTATTGGATTGTTCATTACCCCAACAGATAGAGGCAAGTTTTATAATGAGATAAATTATTGGCAAGGTAGATCAATTAGTAGATAAATTGATTAATTTAATTTACTGTATTTTTTTCAATAATAATGTAGTTTGATAGTAAGTCCAGTATAATATCAACTTGAAATTGATTGAAATTTTCCAAAAGTAGTTAAGTTTCCAAAAAGGCCAAAAGGTTGTCCAATATTGGAAAAATTTGTACATGTATGCATCTGTAAATGGAAAACTTACCTCTAGGTCTCATTAAACACCACAAACTCCATAGAGAGCTATTCAGTTGCCAACAACCAACTCCATAACTTGCAAAAGAAAAGGACTTCAAAAGCTTTTGAAATTGGATTCAAATAGTGGCTTCTATTTTCTACAGTAGGTGACATTTTTGAGCAACCGTCTACTGTAGGTGAAAAGACACAATTAGTTGAGCAGGAAATGCATGAACCCACTTGTGCGGTTGCTGATATGATAGACCCCTGTTGAAAATAATGTAGTCCAACCCTAACTTTAATTGGGTTCCAATGTAAAGAATCAACCATGTAATATAATACACCTTCCTCAAGAAGACAATAATCATGAAAGAATACTTCTAGGTTACGAGACATAGATAGCATGTTCTATTACAAATGGATTTTTTATTTTGGTAACTTTGTGGATTTTTGAACTTTTATTATTATTTTCGGTATTTCATAGTAATTATGTTTTTATGTATCTATTATCTTGAAAAGGTGAACCGTCAAATGGATCATGGACATAATAAGCATTATATGGATTTTTGTGTAGATAAGTTTTCCATCCATTTACTATTTAACAAAAATTTAATATATTTTAGTTTTAGAAATATTTTATATTATTTTTTAGATTGATTTGATTAAACATAAATGAAAATTACTTTTTAAATGTAAAAAATGAAATATATTGAATTTTGTATAAATATATGTTTTAGATTTAATATCTCAAATATACCAAAAAAATAAAATTTAGTGGTTATGCCAATTTTTGGTTTTTAATTGTAATCTCAAATTAATGAAATAAATTAAATTAATTCTAGAAATTGGTGATAGTATTAATAAATCTAAGCATATATATATGGTCTAATAATTCATTATAGATAATTTTCGTTTGTAAAAAATGATCAGATTCTATTCTATATAATTAATAATACATTTTTTAATGTGAAATAAACTTTTTCTTATCCAAGAAATCTTTTATTTTATTGGTGATTTCATAAGTAAAGTACAATAATGTGTTTATACAATATAATGATCATTTAAATTTTAGAAGATATTATAAAAAGTTTTTTTTAATTTATTTTTATTTAGAAACAATGTTCAACATTTATTAACTAATCAACTAATTAGAAATCTCAAATTATGAAATTAAATTAGATATTAGAAACAATAATAGAAAAAGAAAAATAATTTATTCATAAATTATATAAAAAATTAAGATATTAAGTGATTCTTTTCAAATTTCTCTTAGATAATGCTTGGTGTTTGGCAAAATAATGTTATATAGCTATTAGAAGATCACATCCTCATAGGTATGTGTTGGCATTTGCAAAAAATTACCATGAGTACTAATAATCCACATTAGATAGCATAAATGCATCCAATATTATCATTTTTATATTTAAGAGATATGTTATGTAATTTTGCCATATTAGATATAATCACATATATTATTTTATTAAAATTACATTTTTTTATTTAAAATCTTTAAATTAAAAACTATCTTGTAATAATTTATTTATTCTATATAATTATATTATAAGAGTTATATATAAATAAATGAAAATCAAGAAGAGTTGACAAATTTTCAACTTTATGTTAGGGACATAATTCTTAGAACCTTCTAGAGATAAGTTTCTAGAACCTTCTAGAAGCAAGTCTCTGGAACCTTCTAAAAGCTTCTTAGTTGGTAGAAGATATTAGGGACATAGTCCTTAGAACCTTCTAGAGATAAGTTTCTAGAACCTTCTAGAAACAAGTCTCTAGAACCTTCTAGAAGCTTCCTAGTTGGTAGAAGTTGCTTGAGAAGCTTCCTAAATAGGAGTATATATTGGAATCGAGGCTGAAGAGTTCTTCAGTCTCGACAACACATCTCTTGGAGCTCTAGCTCACCTCTCTGGTGTTGTTCTCATTTGATTAATCTAGTTCTTGCCAATTCTTCTTGAACTTCTTGTTAGATCTCGAGTTTGTATTTCTGTGTCCGTGACAGTTTGTCGAGAATGCACTCACCTCAGATATCAGAGCTAGTTTCTTCTTTGTTAGAGTAAGGATTACCTCTCTGCTTGGAAGTGTACTAGTATTTTAGAGGTTGCGGATTACCCTCCTCTAAACTGATACTTCTTTTGTTATAATAATGGAGTCTTATTCTTCTTGAAAAGAGTGGATTACCCCTTTTCTTGAAGCTCTTAAGGCATTTTAGAGGTTGTGGAGTACCCTCCTCTAAACCAATATTGTCTTCTTGTAGAGTCATTTCTATCCTTCTCTTAGAATGGCCGGGGGCCAAGACATTAGTATGACGGAAAGTTCGGAGTCCAAGTTGGATGCTATCATGAATGCCCTCGCTACATTATCACAAAGAACTGCAAAGATTGAAGGAGTCATGGCAAGGCTTCATAATGATGGAGCATCTGGGATGGCACAATCTAAGTTGCGCCAGCTTCAAACTTCTGCACTTGGAGAAGCAACTTTGCCTCAGGTTTGACAAGCACCGCTGGTTCTACAACATAAGGAGCCCCAAGTTAGCCTTTCGGGTAAGTTTGATGGTACGCATTCCAAGTTTCGAGGATTCGTCAACCAAATCAGGTTGATAACAGTTTTACAGCCCAAACGCTATTCAACGGAGGAGTCACGTTGTCGTATTACGTGCTTTCCTAC